GAAGGAGGAGGAACATCAACACATGGCCCAAACTCCTGACGCGTTCGAGCACAGTGATGATCATTTAATTCCCCATGAAATGGATGCTCAATTTTCTGCCATTCCTCCGCAGCACGAAGAAGCTGATGTTCATCCTGAAGCAACGCACCTTGGCAAGGATCTTGAGGGAATGGCTGAACCCGAACACTCAGTACAACCCACAGATACCCATTTGCATGAAGAGGACCTTTTCGCATCCCAGGAAGCACATCCTGATTTCACAAAACCTGAAGAAGATCTGACTAGTGACTATCATCATGAGGAGCACGAAAAGCAACGCATTGCGCAAACTCCCGACACAGATGATCATGTAATCCCGCATGAAATGTCTGCTCAGTTTGCGGCCATCCCTCCACAGCACGAGGAAGCTGATGTCCATCCCGAAATTTCTAAAGGTCTTGATGAAATGGCTGAGCCTGAACACCCAGTACACCCTACAGACACCCTTGCACATGAAGAGGAGCCTTTGCCGTCCCACGAGGCACATCACGATTTCACCAAACCTGAGGAAGATCTGACTGGTGGCTATCATCATGAGGAGAAGGAGGAGGAACATCAACACATGGCCCAAACTCCTGACGCGTTCGAGCACAGTGATGATCATTTAATTCCCCATGAAATGGATGCTCAATTTGCAGCCATTCCTCCGCAGCACGAAGAAGCTGATGTTCATGCCGAAGCAACGCACCTTGGCAAGGATCTTGAGGGAATGGCTGAGCCCGACCACACTGTTCACCCTACAGACACCCTTGTACATGAAGAGGAGCCTTTGGCATCCCACGAAGCACACCTTGAGCTAACCAAACCCGAGGAAGGTCTGACTGGTGGCTATCATCACGAGGACGAGGAGCATCAACAACTGGCCCAAACTCCTGACGCATTCGAGCACGGTGATGGTCATGTAATCCCCCATGAAATGGCTGCCCAATTTGCGGCCATTCCCGCGGAACACGAAGAAACCGACGTCCACCCCGAAGCAATGCACCTTGGCAAGGATCTTGAGGGAATGGCTGAACCCGAACACACAGTTCACCCTACAGACACCCTTGTACATGAAGAGGAGCCTTTGGCATCCCACGAAGCACACCTTGAGCTAACCAAACCCGAGGAAGATCTGACTGGTGGCTATTATCATGAGGACGAGGAGCATCAACACCTGGCCCAAACTCCTGACGCATTCGAGCACGTTGATGGTCATGTCCTCCCACATGAAATGGATTCTCAATTTGCAGCCATTCCTCCAAAGCACGAAGAGGCTGATGTTCATGCCGAAGCAACGCACCTTGGCAAGGATCTTCATGAAATGGCGGAATCCGAGCACACAGCACACCCTACAGACATCCCTGTACACGAAGAGGAACCTTTGCCATCCCACGAGGCACATCATGAGTTCACCAAACCCGAGGAAGAAGCTGTGACTGGTGGCTATCGTCATGAGGAGGAGGAGCATCAACACCTGGCTGAAACTCCTGACGCGTTCGAGCACGGTGATGATCATCTGCTTCCGAATGGCATACCTACAGCATTCGTCCAACCTCCTGTTTCGCAGGAGGAGGTGGACTTCGAGGCCGAGGCAGAACGGCATTTCTCCAACGTTGGCGGTGCTGAGGAGTACGAACATAAAATGCAGTCGCCGGAGACACATGAACAACTAGCACCGGGTGTTCCCGTCCATGAGCCATTTGGCCAATTTACCGGGGAAGCTGAACACTACTCAGCTGAGCATCCTGATCTGTTGAAGTTCCAGGGAGCAGGCCATCCAATAATTGGTTTCGGAGGAGACGCGTTCGGGCAGGTAAAGGCTGAAGCAGAATCCTCCCAGGGTGCTGAAGAGGAGGAGGAGGGGGAGAAACAGCAGCATATTGAGACCTTGAGTGCAAACGAAGCAGCCCACCAGATGTCGCCCCCCACGGAG